TCTCTGATAGACCCTCGGTTCAAGGAATAAGTCAAAGTCAATTACTAAATCGGAATGTAAAAGTAACTAGTTTCCAAATGCATATATCATTCAAAGTATAAAGTGCTAATCAATCGGAATGTAGATAGTATCGATAAACATGTAGTAAATGTGTCTGTTTGTGTGTGTATTACTTGAGCTGTAGGCTGAGGATGTGCACGCACATGCTTCCTTCATTATCGGTCTGCCCATCCTTCGTTATGTGATTCTTGATTATAAGTCTGCATTCAACACACGGTTGCATAACTGCTATTGTAGAAAAAGCAGGTTGTTAGTTAAACTTAAACTTGTCGTTCTAAATAATGCAGATAAGCATCAAATTCGAGTGTTGACAAGGTCAAGATCCACAGCACAATCAATATTTCCGGGTAAGAAGGTAAAGATTGTTTTTTATTCGCCCATTATACATTAGCATTAATTCTTCTTTCTTCTGTGGAAAATGCTGATATTGTACTTTAAAATTTCACCTCTTCGTATTCTCATTGAAATGTGAAGTTAAAGAGTTCCCCGGAATAGTAATTGCCGAGGAGCCAGAGTGGAAAAACTGCATAGAAGGTTCAACAGCTGTTGTGAATTTGGCTGGAACATCCATTAGTACTAGATGGTCCTATGAGGTATTAGGACGACTTCCTTTTCTCGTTTCGATTTGTTTGTCTTACTTACTTTATATATCTTCTGTGTGACGAATGATCAGTCGTTCATTCATGTATCAACTTTTCAATGTAATGCTTCAGATCAAGAAGGATATCAAGCAAAGCAGGATTAGAGTAACCTCCAAGGTCTCCCTAATAGCAACGCGAATTCATTGTAAGAATTTATCTATAACAACAAATGATACGAGCAAGAATCTGAGAAACGTCGATTGATCCTGCAGGTTGTAGAATTAATCAATAATTCAAAGGATGATGCCCGTCCCAAAGTTTTAATAAGTGCAACAGCAGTTGGTTATTATGGTACGGGTGACCAAATTCATGTTTTGCTTCCATACCGTATTGTTAAAAGTGTTAAGCTGCATATCCTCGTATCGCGATAATCTTTCTGTTACTGGTAAAAGCTTCAGTAAAGTTGAGTGATAAGTCCACTTATATTATTACCTTAGGAACCAGCGAGACGGAAGTGTTTGATGAGAAAAGTCCATCGGGAAATGATTACTTGGCTGAGGTAAATATAACAGTTGCATACATATAGAACATGTTATGTGTTTTTAATCTTCATGTTTGATTTCTCACGTCATGATTTCTTTCAGGTTTGTAGAGAATGGGAGGCATCTGCTCTCAAAGTCAATAAGGATGTTAGGCTTGCTCTAATTCGTATTGGCGTTGTCCTCGGAAAAGACGGTGGTGCTTTAGGTAGTACACTTTCTTTCTTTCTTTTCCTGTCGATAACAAAATAATAGCCTGTTTTGCCTAGCTATGTGTAGCGTCAAAACGTCTTTTTTGTTTTCCCACCCTCGGTTATATGTGAACCGATCTGTGACAGAACATGTCATATCTTTAACATTTTGATACTTAACATTGTTAAAATCTTTCGATTTTTCTTTCTGCAGCTAAGATGATTCCTCTCTTCATGATGTTTGCTGGTGGACCTTTGGGCTCTGGAAAGCAATGGTACTGCCCTTCAATTTTTGTCCATGTTATAAGTGTTCCCCGTTATGGATCAGAGATACGTTATCTGTATTCGTCTGTTTGAATCTTAGTCCTAAGATTACCGAGGGCATGACCTTAGATAGAAGGGTCTGGAGGTCGTGCATTAGGGTAGAAGGTTAGTTGGTAGTTGACCGTTCTCTGTGTTGTCTGTAATGCTGTTGATTTCACATTATTTCGTTGTTGTCTCTACGAGGTAGGGTAAGGTCTATGTAAACTCTACTCTCCCCAGATACCACTTGTGGGATTTCACTACGTATGTTGTTGTTGTTGATTTCTAATTCTCACTTGGTAGATTCTACTGGCTTCACTACACAGGTTTTCTTGGATTCATCTCGATGACCTCGTGGATTTGATATACGAAGCTTTATCCAACCCATCCTATAAAGGTAAAGTCATTACCAGGCATCTATACCATGGATTTCGTTCGGAGTAGTTTTCTAATGAGTTCATATAGTCAGTCAACTGATAACATAGTCGTGCAATGGCAGGGGTGATAAATGGAACAGCACCGAATCCTGTACGTCTGGGAGAAATGTGTGAACAACTAGGATCGACGTTAGGAAGACCTTCGTGGCTACCTGTACCAGAAATTGCACTGAAAGCTGTACTTGGAGAGGGTGCATCAGTGGTATGATATCTGTAACTTCAACTTATTGGTACTTATTTGTCTGTATTGATCGGAAACAGTCTCTCTACTTCTCAACGTCTGCATACACTCTACTCTCTCCAGACTCCATTGGGTACGTTGTTGTTGATATTGCTAGAGTAATGTGTATTTTAGGTGTTGGACGGACAAAAGGTGGTTCCAACGAAGGCTAAGGAGTTGGGTTTTTCGTTCAAATACAGGTATATCAAAGACGCGTTGAAAGCAATCATGTCATGAGACTCATCAACCATCAACCCATATTCATTTTCAATGGCCATGAAATGGAACGAAAACACGAATAATTTGTTGTTGTTGTTGTAGTCGTCGTCGTCTGGGGATATGAGTTTTTTTCCTTATTTTTGATGAGCCAAAATTCAATTTATAAACATAATGTCATTGTCAAAAGTATATGCCTAGTTATGCTTTACTTGAACCGAGGGTCTCTCTTCCTAATACGGTAGCAGTAAGACGGTGTATATATCACTTGTGAGTATATTGTTATTGTATGGACGAACTTTTCACGAGCCCCGAGGTGAATTGATTTTAAAAGTTGCATATGTATTTACATTTAGATTATGAATTTACAATTGTTTAGTCCAATTAGCAAACTAGACGTAACAAATGGGCGGATTGAAAATGAGTTGAAATCCAACCCATAATGCTTTTTATTGGGTTAGAGTAACCCATATTTCACACAATTTTTAGCCCTGCGGTAAAAATCATTAGATATAATTGCGTATATATCATCTCTTCAAATTTGATTTATGAGATTACACTGTGTATATTATTTCGTTATAGTATTTAATTATTTATTTCAAAAAACTTTTAATTAGTGATTGGTTATCAAGGAACTGACATGTCATTAATATTTGGTTCTCTTTTTTCTTGAAACTTTGTGAAGAATAATAAGTGAGGGGTTCAGAAAAAGAGAGCACTTTTTTTATAAAACTTGTTCAAATTAATTGTTTAAATAAACGCATATAAATTAATTAATAAAATATTTCCTTTGTTATTATCTTCTTCCAAGAAAAATAATAAACATGTGTTTGTTTTTTTTATAATAAATAAATAAATAAATTTAAGAAACCATTTCCTTTGACCACTTGAATAACATTACGTGTGATATAATTATTTCTAAGATCACCTATTAGAAATTTATAAAATACTAAAATAGTAATAATAATAATATTCAATCTAATTCCAGGTGGAAAATTTATTTTCGAAAAACCATCGCATATCAAAACACCATAAAAAAGGAAGTAAAATACATGAATCGCAGCAATCAAATGTGGAGCCAAAATTAGTAGAATAATATACTACGAACCTAGTTTTTTTGCAACCTCTTCATCACCATATACCCATTAATCAGTTTCATCATACGGTTCACAAGTTAATATATATATATATATATATATATATATATATATATATATATTGTTTTCAAATACAAATAGAAGGAGAAACTTTAAAATGAATCCCACAGTTTTCACTTAGCTCCACCTCTACTAGCAACAACTAAATAGTATGATAATCAAAACATAAATAACAACAAATCGATAATAGAAATCGAACGACAATAAATTATAAAATGAGTACTAATGCTATTGGTATGAAAGGAGAAACATGTCTAATACAACAATCACACGATAAAACTAAACAACACTCAACTACCTACTAACCTTATGTCATAATCTTCAACTTCCACATATCAATCAAATATTTTTAATGACGATCAGTTCGTTTGTGTTACTATTAAAAAAATAACCACTTATTTTAATCGATAACATTATTAACATTTTTTAATTACCATTCATATCTCGACTATTTCATTATGAAATTATTTTCCACCAATATAAATACCAAAAAATTCCACCAACCAAAATCTAATTTTTTTTTTAAAAAAAACAAATTATTTTTTTAATAAGTCAATATTATAAAGTTAATTCCGTGATCTAATATGTACCTCAAAAAAATTTTAATTTAATATTAATATGTGGCTATGCACGTAGAGAGATAATAAAATAACGTGCCGCTCCAAACGGGGCATTATACAAAAACCATAACTGCAATTTCTATGATGTTTAACAATTTTCATTCCTATTATACCCTTTTCTTATACTGTCCTATATATAAAAAATGAGGGTAAAATAGTCATTATACATAAAACAAAATTTCATCAGTCACACACATATATAAATATATTTTCATGGCTATTCAAGATTCATATTTCTCCATCAACAAAAAAAAAAAAAATTCATAAGTTCCATGATTAATATATTAAAAAAACCATCTTTTTCATAAGCTTTTTTACCCCATTTGGATTTTTTTTAATTTTTTTTTTTTAAGTTTTAGTATTAAAAAAATAGAAACTTTATTTGGTGCCCCATTTTGCTTAGTACATAATCAAACTGTTGCTGGTAAGTTTTCTTTTGTTTATAATATAATGTAAAGACTTGATTTTTATTACTTAGTATGATGTATTTATTACATAAATCTGTGTTCCATGCATGGTGGAGAACTGTGTTTTGATGTTGAAATCTTTAAAGATGGGATTTTTATGTGTTGTTTGTTCACCAGAAGCATTTTTTATTTGTGGGGTTGGGGTGGTTGGGGTGGTGTGAGGTGGGGGTGGGGTGGGATGGGGTTGGGGGTAATGTCCCACCATGCTGTTTTTAGCTTAGGCCATAAATCTTTACTTCTGGGAAGTGTGTCAGGAGAAAAGAGGAATAGAGAGCTTTGGACTTTGTTAAACATGCAGATATTAGCAGAAATCTTTAGAATGTCAGCAAAAGATTATATAGCTTATGTAGATAATAGACCTAGAGAGGGATTCTTGATGTATTGTTTCTGGGATCTTTATGACCTGAGTCTAAAAGGGCTAAAAAGGGTGTCTGATTTTTTTTCATTTGGTAGTAATAAAAATCTCAGCTTTTTGGGTTTTTTTTTTTGAGTTTTGATAGGTTTTCTTGATTCCTATATTTGGTACTCTGAGAAAACTCATGGCTGTGACAGCTATGGTGTACTATATATGCTTTTCTTGGGGTTTGGGTATTTTGTTATGGTACTTGGGAGTTACTTCACATAAAAGGGGTTGTTGTTGTTGTTCAGCTCTTCCAGTGGCATTTTCATGGTGATACACAGATATTAAGTTCTCTTTTTCTCTGCTTCTGTATGTGTTTTCTTTCTTTGTATATCTATCTGTTTATCTATCACTTTCTTTTTGCTTTCTGGTTTCTGATTTTGTCTGTTTGTTATAATTATTTTTTATCTTTTTTTTTTCATTTTTTGGACTGTGTATAATTACCATTGGTTTCTGTTTTTGGACTCATTAGTCTTATTTTCTGGAAATTTCTGATGATGCTCTTTTGTCTGTTTTCTATCACTAGCATTTTACATGTTTAAGTTAGTTCACCTTGAAAATTGAGCTTTGTTTTGTTTTGTGATTTTGGTGCTATTTATAGCTGTGTTGATTTGTATTTCTGTAGTCTGCAGCTTAGAGGTTCTTGAGAAAACAAGGACTGGAGTGATAAGTGATTCTTGAAACATGTTATGAGAAATTGAGAATGGCATCATCTTCTGCTGAAAATAGTCCAGTGCCACTCAGAGTAGCACCCCCAAATTATCAGCCATATCCACTTCCCTTGGTTAAATATGAGAATATTGTTGCCTCTCCTCAACTGTTCATGGAAACTTTGCAGAAGCTCCATGCTTTCATGAGAACTAAGTTCATGTGAGTTTTTTCTTTCCTTTTTTTGCTTCCTTATGTCCTTTTATGAGTTTCTTTCTATCAGCTTGCATGCACCTCGAGTACTTCACCAACTTGATAGCTTTGCTCACCTAGGTATTTTGCCTGTTTTGGGATTTGAATTTAGTTTCCCATGGTTTTCACCTACTTCGTTAACTACTAGATCATGCCCGAATACCATCTCTATATCCTGTCACAAGGCGTACCTCCCTCCCTTGTGTTAAACTTGATCAAGAAATGCTGTCTTTCTTAGTATATGGTTTTCTCCTAAGATGGTCAATTCTCAGCTCATGAGCTACCTTTTGTGCGTTGAGTTAGGCACAAGATCATTTTTCCGAAAGCAACAATTATTTGAGAAGATTTTTAGGCAGTTTTATTGAGGATTTCATTGATTATTAGCAACCACCAACATTTTCCTGATTTGATTAATCTTTGCTAAAGACTGCTATCCTAATTCCAATTTTGGTCCACCAATCTTGATACTATGCCATAGGCTTCTGAGTTCCCACACATCGTCTCAAATTTATATAGTTCACGCAACTATTTATTAATGTTTCTGTGGGTTGTGCTTTTTTCAGGGTCCCTGTTATAGGGGGCAAACAGCTGGATCTGCATCGCCTCTTTGTCGAGGTAACTACTCGTGGTGGTCTCTCAAAGGTAATAGAACTTAGGCTCATTGTATTCAAACTTTTTGTGCTCTTTCCGTTTTATATCCATGATTAATTATTTAAAATGTAGAATAGCTGGGGAAGGTTAGAGTAACTCTCATCATATATCTCCATGTTATGGTATTTTCTCTTAATTTTTTCTCTTACTAAAAAAGCATAAGTTGGTGTATTGACCTCTGGATTGATGAATTTCATTTGAGTTGGCTTTGCCATAGTAAAGAGCCACAGAAGGCACTATTTTTGTTATGCATCCCCACATGGTTAGGATATACTCCATTCAAGTTTAGCTTTCGCGTCTTAAATGCTTCTCCTTGTTTTGTTACGCTCATGGGTGATGCTCAGCTGGAGTAAAGTCAAGAAACGTGCAAGACTAGAACATCATACAAATAGGTGGAAGGTGTATGCGTTTTGGCGTAAGGAACCAGAACACTTGGGGCTTGGTTTCATTTTCATTTCAGTTGTTTTACGAGTTGTTCTTTCAAGCTTGTTGTAGGATGGGTTTGAAGAATTTTGTGGCCTTACAGGTTGTTGTTTGTCGTAAACAAGTATAGCTCTTAATATGCATAGAAAGGAATGATTGGGTTGAAATCAATGTTGAGTCTGTATAATTATGATTTTTCGAACGTAATTGCAGATTCTAGGGGAGAAAAGATGGAAGGAAGTAACATTGCTGTTTAACTTTCCTTCTTCAGCCACAAATGCTTCATTTGTTCTTCGGAAATACTATATCTCATTGCTATTTCACTACGAAAGACTCTACTATTTCAAGGCAAAGTACTGGACTCCTCCTCCTGGTATGTGTGGAATCTTTCATTACTTAATTAATTGTGCCGAGGCTTTCTCACTAAAACATAGATTTATTTCAGGCGTGTTGCAGGAAGCCTCTCGAACTGCAGCTCCAACTCAAGCTTTGGCCGGATATATCCTTCCACCACCAGGACTAGAAGCCACCATGCCCCAGCCACAGAGGATAGAAACAACATTTCCTGAAGGTAAGAGTCATTCCAAATCTTTTATGTCATAGTCATTCATTCATATCTTTTCGGAGTCTTCAAATCCATGTATGGTGATATTTTTTATGTCCTTTTCGAGATAAGTGAGGTGATCCTTACGAGGAGAACAAAGAAAATAGGGGCTAGGTCCACGATATTGGTTATCCATTGAGTTGTGAACCCTGGGAGACTCTAAAACTTTGTATCTACTGATTCACATGATAAAATGAGTACTATCGATATCGATGCTTCTGTTACATGTGAAGTAGTAGAACATGATAAATCTTTACTGCTTAACTGTTTAGACTGATAATTTCCTACTATAGCTAACAAATAATGTCCATCACCCCATTCTTTTGTGCTTGCAGAAACTACCATACCATCGACAGGTTCACCTGTGTCTGGTTTCATTGACGGGAAGTTTGAGAGTGGATATCTTATTACAGTGAAGATTGGATCTGAGGATCTTAAAGGTGTTCTATATCAGATTCCAATTAACCAAGAGCAGCAAGAGTTGCAGAATGTACCTGCTTACAACACTCAAAAAGAAGCATCAACACCTGGGATAGCTAGAAGAAAGCGTAGGAAGAAAAGTGAAATCAAAAAGCGCGACCCTGCCCATCCCAAGCCTAACAGAAGTGGTTATAACTTTTTCTTTGCAGAACAACATGCCCGTCTGAAACCTCTTTATCCTGGAAAGGATAGAGAGATTAGTAGGATGATTGGTGAACTGTGGAACAATCTGAACGTTCCAGAGAAGATGGTAGGGAACCAAACGATATATTTCATATCGGAAAAAGGTCCAAAAATTTACTCCTCTACTATGCAAAGTATCTTAGTTTTGCTCCGTTATACTTTGAGGCCATTCATGCCTTTGTTATCAAATGTCCTCGTATATACCTTGACTTTAATGGGGTTCTAGCATGGACTAAGATTGGAACTCCTTTACAATCGAGGTCAACTACGAAATGATTTGTTGACAGACACTGAAGGTATAAATGGCTCCAAAGTATAACGACAATTAAGATATTTCGTATTCTAGGTGGTTGTTTATGAGCCTTTCTCCGGTTTAAATATCCCAAGACGTATGAGATTGTTCTTGTTTGTTTCATGCTAACTACTTCGAATGATTATATTCTGTTGAGTTCAGGTCTATCAGGAGAGAGCATTGCAAGACAAAGAACGATACAGAATGGAGATGCAAGACTATCGCGAGAGACAAACAACTGGACAAATTGTTAGTAGTCCACTGCTAATACAATCTCCTCTTGAACACAATGTCGATATGATGGATCAGCCAACTGAACTTCATAGTGAAAATGGAAACGTCTCTTGGAGTCCAGAGCACGGAACAAGTTCTGATAAATGTGCACAGAGCAACTCGGAGAACAACAACAACAACAACAACAAAGGCACAGATCCTCCAGTATTAGAAATGCAGACTAACAACGTGATCGTTGAGGGATTTGAGTTGCTTAAGAGAGTAGACATGGTCGATTGCGAGGACAAAGAAATGCAGGAAGAAGAAGTTGAAGGTGATAAACAAGAAGAATTACAACATAGCAAGGAAAAAGTTTTTTTCTTCCTAGAAGAAAAAACTGTTACCAACTGAGGGGAAAATATAAAACATGGTAAAGCTTAAGTTACTTAGCTTCTTAGATATTACAACTTATCTTAATTATATAGTGTTTGTTTTGACTTAGTGATAATTATGTTGTTTTTAGCAGTAGTTTTGGATATAATTTAAAAAGTATGAACCATTTTGATGTATTTCATGGGCATACTTTACAGATTAACTGCCCTTTTGTTATGCAAGGTTAAAAAAATATGAGCATTAAGCACATCATATCTTGTACTTTCTCTTTTTTTTTTTGGTTTTTCATTCGCTGTTTGGTACATGCATGGGAGCTCGTATAATTTGGATACGCGCTGCGTTGGGTTCTATCTGGGGAGAAGTGATCCCTACTAAGGATGGAACATGGATATGGTTCATACTTAGATGATTTTGTATTCAAAGTTTCATTTGTTTTGTGTTACTCTGAACTCTCGATAAAGTTGTAAGGTGCGAGTTAGATTCTTTGAAAAAGGTGTATTTTTGATGTCTAACACATTTGCAACAACACCTTTTGAAGAGTTTAAGTAACACACAATTGAGACATGGTTAGGTGTGGGTTTTTTTATGCACAAATTGTTATATTGAACATCTATAATTTTTAATCATGTCATTGAACATTAGGTTATTCATTTATTTTATTTAAAAATTTACACATATAAACCTACATATTAAGGAGGTGAATTAAACGCTCTATGTTTAAAATATTTTTTTTATGACTCAAAACTGAAACCTCTTATAAAAATATTCATTTCATTAGATAATGACCTAAACATTATTAGACTTGCTAATAATGGAGAAGGACAGCTACTTTTGATAAGAAAAGCAATTTTTTTAATAAAAAAATTAGCAAATATTATATAAATTTCATCTTTAACTAAATTTATACATTCTTTTTCAAAATGGCTTTTTCATTGTGATATCATCTTAATAAGGAATTTTAATTATTTTTAATGTTAAAAAATAACCGACCAACCAATCCTATTTCAGTTTATAGAAACTATATTAATGTTGTTGTCATTTGCTTATATATGCAACATTTTCAACATTTAATTAAAATTTCTTTCCTAAAGTTTTATCACAATATCAAATATTTATTTGGATGATTAAAGAGTATTCTTGAAGTTGTAGGTCATGACTCATGAGTTTCGTAAATTCAATTACTAATGTTTGTATCAGAATATTTCCTTTTACGTTGTGTAAGTAATACTCACAACTCATTTTATTTTAGGGTTTTATTTTTTATCGCGCACTCATGTTACGCGACGCCAAAGTTCGACACTTGTTGAATTTCGAGCTTAAGATGCTTTATACATCGAACAACGTTAATTATTAGCTTTTCTTATTTAGCTTAATCAACAAGTTTGTATACATTGTCAAAGCTAACTTGCTAATTAAGGACATTAATTAGGTCAACCAGAATTAATTTAAATGAACAAAGTTGAAGTTGTCAACTGCTAAAATTATATATTGATTATTTGCATACTACTTTTTTTTAAAAAAAATATATAATTGCACTTGATTAATTTAAAATTGCAGTTCTTTGAAACTTAATAGTGAATTGGTTAATTAATTGCTAATTATATATGTGTAATTGTTCATTTATAAAAACATACTTTAACTATCGATTATTCCATTTTTCTATATAAATGATAGTGTGATTATATTTCAGATCGGAAACTCACACTCTGATAGTTGAAACATTTTTGATAAATAGTTGATGTCATTGTTCAGATAGTAAACTCGCATACTTATGATAGTTCATATATGAAAATGACTATTAACTCTCTTTCAAACGTCAACCAAATATTATGTAAATGAGTAAATACTTGTAAATTTATTTCATTTTCTATATATAGTACTTCCATTCCTCAAATAATACATTTAATTCGAAATCATGATTTGACCTTATATGTGTTATTTTATTCTATAGTCCAGAATTAGAAAGTCAAGGAAATTAAGATAAGAGTGAATTTTCTTTTTTTTTTTGTTAACAAGAATTGTTTTTTTAAAATAAAGTCACTTAATATATGACAAATTATAGCAAATAAGCATGGGAATTCTTTTTGATATTATAAAATATAAAAAAAAAGTCAAACCTTTGAGAGGGGTTGACAAAACAAGAAGTATTTGATTTTGATATTTTATATTTATATTTAAATAAAGTAAAACTTAATTAAATCCCAAAGTCAACTTATTTAGCAAAATGTGATGATGATGAACTAGTTATAATAAGTTGGAACATCATGATTCATGACAATCCTACTATAGGGGCTACAAATTTTTGTGTTTTTTTTATAGAATAATATATATATATATATATATATATATTGAATATATTAAACCAGTAACTCTTCAATCACTATATTTTTATCGTTATTTAAGTTAGAGGAAGTTTATTTTAGAAGATCTGAATCGAAATTCATATAGAAATATAACGTGTTCGTAGTTTTACTTTTATTTTTATCTTATTTTCTATTATATAAGCAATAACAAACTATATATAAACGTATTTAATAATAAATATATATACACACTCTTATCATCTAACAAATTGTATCTTTCTAATAAAACTTAGAGCATTTCCTTTCCAACTAACAAAAAACAATCAAAATCACCGAACTAATAAATCACACACAAAACAAACTTATGGCCATTAAAACAAAAAACATTACATGATAAAAAAAATAATAATAATGAACACTCACTTAAAACAACAAATTGATATAGCATAAATCCAACCAATGTCACTACATGATCTTCCAAAAAAAGTGAATATTTTTTTTTATAAAATTAAACAACTATATGCATGTATGCTCTTGATCTTGAAATAATTTTGGTAAATAAAAAAACAAAATACAATACATTAATTGAGTGTCATGATAAATCAGAAACAAGAAGTGCATCCCAAATCATATCCATATCCAAAGATGGCATTCTACTCAATTGAACACCATCAACATTTTCTTGATTATTAATATTCTTCACCTTAGTAATCTCCATTAGTTTCTCACAATTAATTTCCTTCTCTTGATTCTGAACGATCGTGTTCTTGATTGTTGCATCATCATCCGATAGCCCTTTTGGAGATATAATAATTTCATCGCGATCACTACTATTATTAGCCTTCTTTTTTGATTGTGTTGAAATTGCTCGAATTTTCGCCTCAAGGAGTGATGTTATGTTCCCATTGATAGAATTAGCCTTTAATTGATTCTTCAAATGTGGGAAATTCAAGTTTGCATAATCACCTCTTAGCATATAAGCCGCGGTATCATAAGCAAAAGCGGCTTCTTCAGCAGTATCAAATGTCCCTAGCCAAACCCTAGTCCTATTTCTTGGTAGCCTTATTTCCGCCACCCATTTTCCCCAATGCCTTTGTCTTACTCCTCGAAAAAGCTTCCCTTGGGAAGCGATCATAGAAGAAGAAGAAGATGATGATGATGACGACGACGATGACTTTTCATAATGAACAAGTGATGATTTTCTTGATGATCCTTTGAATTTCATTGGTTGAGTTTTTGTAGTGCTGAGCCAATAGTCACTAAAACCTTTTGTTGTGGTACAATTTGTTATGGTTTGATTCATTTTCAACCAATTTGTTGGATTTGTAGTTGCAACCTCTTTATAATGAATTTGGCTCTCATGACCTATTGATGAAGACATAGGGAATAACGCCGCGGATGATGACCTGGCAAAACATGAAAAAAAATTTAAGAGGTTGAAGATATATCGTAATATTTACAATACTTATCTATTTTCTTCTTTTATCAATGTATTGGGACTCGTGCATCCTAGATAGTGGTGTAACTACCTATTGATTACAAGGGGTGCAACTGAATCCCCTTCGCTAAAAAAAAAAAACACAACTATATACATTTTTGAATCATATTGATCATAAGTGAAAGATGTTACATTCTAACATGTTGTTGATAGAATTACTGATTTCGATACTGTATCCTAGAAAGTCTAAATATGTACTATTGGTAAACTCAATTTGATAAAAGAGAAAATTAGTGAATAAAATGGCAAATAAATAAAAGGAATAGAATTAGTATCATACTTGTGATTCTTGTTGCTTAGAGATTCAGCTGCCCTTTTTGAAATCTCTAAAATGGAAGGCTCTTGCAAAAATAACCCTAAAGTTGGGTAATTACTTGATAGTGAATTTGTTGAAGAAGCACATGTTTGATGATCAAGAAAATTATTTAAAGGAAAAATGTTGTTATTATTCCCTTGATCTTGATGATGTTGATAACTTGAAGAAGTCGATAATGATGATGATGATGATGATAATGATAATGACGATTCATTTTGATGGAAATTAAGTGGAAGAAATTCAGAAAATTTTGTTGGAGAAGAATTTATAAAAGTAATTTCATGATTTAAATCACTAAAAATGTGTGGATCCTTGAAAAATCTAGATAATGATTCTATGGCTACTTGTTTATAACAAGTTGGCAATTCTTTTTGCATGATGGATTCTGATTTTAGAGACTGATTCTCCATGAGAAATCCAATAGATTGGTATTGAGGGGAAAAAAAAGAGAGAGAGAGAGATAATGATGATTTTACAAAAATGTAGACATTGTGGTATATATATTAAAGTCTCAAGCAAGAAGATTATATTATATGTTTACTAAAGAGGCACTTTTAATAAAGGGTCAATAGAAAAAAATAGGACCATCAATAAGGGTGTGTTATCTCTCCACTTATAATCAGAAATCTCAGTTTCAAGTCTGAAAAATGAAGAAAAAAATTTCGATAAGAAGTGAGCCCTATATAATACGTAAGTTCAGATTAGCTAAATCAGTAGGTTCCGACAGTTAGATTAGTTATCGGTAAACCTTCGAGCCTCGAAAAAAAAAGAGAAACTCTTAGTAGTAGTCGTTTCTTCTTTAATGAACCTTACATGATACATATTCAGATTAAATTAATCGGATCGATATATTTTGACTGATACTGTAAGTAACGTCAACTCAAATTAATTAATCAAAATCACAACGTTCGAGCCTTAAAATGAAGAAATTAATTGTGAGAAGCGTTTATGTTTTATCAACCCCTACACAATGTGATACTCAATTAATCAGATCAATAAATTTCGAACTTCCATAATTTTCTTTTCAAATTCTAGATCTTTGTTACAAGTCTTAGAAACATTAATTCGTGCATCCCATTTTCATATATATTCTTTTTTATAAACCAATCCAAATGTGCCAACTCATGAGTTGTATTGTTACCTGTCTTATAAGGTTTATAACAGGAGGGATGTATATTCTTTTTATGATAGTGACTGCAAAAATAAAATTTTAAAAATTAAACCTCAAAAAAACTTTGCTTTAATTTACTTTATTGTTTTTTTTTGCATTCATTTCTTGGTTTTATTAGCAAATGATCATGTGATTTTCATTAACAAGCACATGATCAATTTCTCTCTTTTTTTCACTTTTTTTTTTTGAAGTATGAAAATGGTATCTTCACTTTCTCTTTTTAACAAGTATTAGTTATTAGAATATAGTAATTAGTTATAATTAGTAACTAATTAAACAAAAGATTAATCATATGATAATCCTCTAGTTATAATTGTTATTTGAGTACGGAAGCTTGGAGCAACGGTAAAATTACTTATAGTTTGAGTTACGCGTGATAGCAACTATTAATAATTAATCACGTCTTTGATAAGTGTTGACGGTCTTTGTCATATCCTACGTGAATACAGAATGTTTAATACATTGAACTGTCATTTTATAATTGTTATTTAACTCATATAGTTATGTATGTTAGTTAGAAGATTAATTAGTTGGCCTAATCATCATCTCCAAATTTTATATAGGTACTTTTCCAGCAAAACTTTAAGTTAAACTATATTAGTGATTAATTAATATTATCATCATCATTGTAATAATGGACCAAAAAATTAATGAATTTTTAAGAAAAAAGATAATGAGGTTTAATTAGTTTTTGTTCTTAATTAGTAGGAGGAAATCATGGTTGTCTTTAAATGATTTAATACTAAATAATTATAAAACTCTCAAATTAAGACATTTCTCTTATGTGTCTTTTGAGAATAACATTGAGACACTTTTACCAAAAAAAAAAATTCTCAAATTTCATTCCAAATAAGGCAAAACAAGAATCAAAAAATAATTAATTAATTAAATATTTGTAAATCCAAATGATTAGTAGTCACTCTGACTCATACTATTGGTAGTGCATGTTATTTAATTTTATTTCATTCATAATTAAGCTACCTCCCAAATTCCACATATCAATTATCATTTCATTTTAAAAAAAAAAAACCTCCCTAATGTAATTCTTTTGTTCCGAGTAGTTATCGACTTCAACAGAGTTTCCGAGTTTGAGTTTTTGATAAAAAAAAATCTTGTATAACACTTTTTCTCTTTAATGGTTCATACACTAAACGAGTGTAAATAAATCGATACCCTAATATCAATAGTAAAGTGATCAAAATTTATAGTAAGAGAGTAAAAATAATGTATTTATATAAAAAGATTTATTTTTATATAGTGTGTAATTCTTTTTTGTAAAACAAATATCGAACGTCTGAGTAAAAACTTTTAACAAAAAAATAAAAGAAGAGAACATGGTTTTAGTCCAATTATAGAAGTTATTTTTGCTTGTGATTATAAGAATGAGTTTAATTTAATTAATATATATGTCATGAACAAATTAAAGGCAGCTAGACAAGAAACCATGTTTCTTTAAAGTTGTTTTCCCCTTTCTTAGTTTTTAATTTAACTTTTATAATAAAAAAATACTGTTTAATTTAATTATTATTTTTCTTTATTCCTTTCTCAGTTTTCAACCTCACACAATACACAAAAAGACAGATTATTATTAATTAGAATAAATTAATTAACATCCTTGTAACACATAACCACTACTTTAATTAATTGGATTAATATAAAATAATTAATTAAAGGGTTAGACATGTGGAGTAGTGGAAAGTGGCTTAGCTTGACCAAACAGTAAAATTGACAAATCATGTGCACAACAAAGAAAGACAAAAAAATTTTTAATAAGCCTTGAATTTTGTCATCAAATGATAATAATAAATATTTTTTTTATAAAAAATAGTTCGATACACTAAATTTTCATTCTCGGTAGGGTTTAGAAAACCATCGGATTATATTAAATATTTTATACACAATTCTTTTAGAAAAAAGATATAAATTTCTTCTCAAACTTACACCGAAAAGTCAGTTACATGGTTCAACTATTATGACGATCTATTACACACCTAAACTACTAAAAAGTGAATTTATTTAATACATACTAACGATAAACTATCGTGAATAATACATTCAGTGATTAATTTATCAAAAATATAATTAACTGACTGAGGCATGCAATTGATAATTTCTGAGAGTATCAGTGAATAACTTAAATTATAAAGATCTATCATACTTTTTAGTTTCTAGTAATTTTGCTCATAGAATAGACAATTTATCAATCTATAGTTCCTTCAAACTCATAAAATTTTAATTGTACGATGAAATTTTTTATCGTTGCACCAAAACTCCGATCAAATAGAAGAAAAGTTTATTGTATAGCCATTTTCTCAGTTTCTCTAATGTGAAGATAAGGATTTTGCTTGGTTGGACAGCTTTATTTAATTTTTACCTATCTTTAATGTTATCTTAGATATAATATTATTAGACACTATGACACCACTAATAACATAGTTAATTAATTAATTACTATATATTTCTCATCAAGCTTCAGCATGATCATTATTTTGTTGTATATATGGCTTCAAATGATGATTGATTAACTGACTAATTAAGCTTTTGTTTTTATCACAAAAGAAATCACATTATTGTTGTCTAAGATTATTTCATAATTCTTCAGCTTATTTATTAATCACTAGATCTTACGTACCTTTTAAGTGTTCATCGTTCCTTATAATTGTTATGAATGTTCTCATATTATTGATATTCGTCATTAAATTTGTTAACGATAGGGCTTTTAATATGACAAATAAATACGAAAGTTGTGCTTACTGCAGGACTTAACTAAACACCTTAATCACGAGCTTTATATGATGTCATATATATATATATATATATATATATATATATATATATATCTCACATGTGTCAGCAGCATTTTCAAATGCATTAATTTCGATTCATGACAAGTAAAGCCTTGTTAAAAATAATTTATTTTATATTTAATTAAATCACGTACTTTATAGATATGTGGATCCTCATCGATTTCTGTGAGGATATATTCCTCAAATGAAATACTTTACGCGTTAACTACAGTACTGTATGAATTAAAACACATGGCGCCTAGTGAGAGAAAAACATAATAATAGAGTTTGTCGATAGGTTTTATTTATTTTCTTTAACTAAGATGGGGTAACGTCCAACAAAGCCGAAGAAAAACAGAATATTTTAGAAGTTTAAAGATTTAATATTTTTGTTAAAACAAATTAAGAGTAATTTAGGTAAATGATTGCAACTAATTTTATTAATTAATTATTGTACTATTACTCTTTATTTTTGGCAATATTCTTCATGCTTTACACTTTTAGGTGTCAAAAAATTTGTACAAATATAACCTTTACCCCTAAGCCAAGATCCAAATTTGGCAAAGAAAAAATTATATATTAGCATAGTAATTAATACATGCATTAACAATGTATTTTTAATTAATAGCTTAATTTATTATATTAATGTAAAAATTATAACAAACAATTGTGTGGTGCAACTAGTTGTTAACTTTAACCTAAAATAAGGTAGTTTTGTTATTCTATTACTTATATTATAATCTCACTTTTTTATAGATAGTAACGTGTTGTTGTCACTTGTTAGGTATTGAATTAGCGATAAGTATTTCTTCGTAATAACGTTTAAAAAGTTTCAAATTTGATCTTGATATATATAAAATCTCCTCGTTAAGAAGTGTTTTGTTTAATATGAGATTTCTTGACGTGATTCGCGTCCGGAATAGTTTCCTTTGAATCCAGTTATGGCTGCCCATGGATTCATATATATGTAATATTGTTCCACATGACCCACCACACAAAAAGTGAATACAATGTATACAAATAGGAAAAAGAATGATTCTTACTTTTGCTTTACTCCACTTCTCTTAATCACCATTTTTTCTCAAATCATATGTTATAAAATTTAATTTTTCACAAACTAAACACTTGGAAAAAGAATATTAGAACACATTCACTTGTACCACATTTAACATTCAAGATTTTATGTTATTGTATATCAAATATATGTAATGTTGTGAGAACAAATGTTCATTAAATGTAAGACAAAATTACAGAAATACACACATTTTGTTTCACTTATTTTCATTATCCTTTATTACTTTTAAAAATCTTCAAAATTCTTATTTTTTTAATGTATCCGTGTTGTATATTAATGTATTCGAGCGAGCTAGTTTTAAATGTATTCGAACTACATATTAATGTGTTTGAGCCAGTATTTATTTGAGCTACATAGTATGTATCCGACCTAGTTTTTAATGTATCCGAGCTACATGTTAATGTATTCGAGCTTCAATTATTGTATCCAATTTTTTTTAAAATTTTAAGAAAATAATTATTAAAAACTTATTAGGGATAGATTGTAATTTCATATTAAAAGTATAAGATTTATGTAATCTACACTAAAATTTGATTAACTTCTATAGAATAGTGAAAAGAATAGAATATTAAAAAAATTCAACTAAATAATTATGTATTATTTGACAAATGTATGGTATCAAAGAATTTTCCTTACACACAAATTGGTATATTATGGAAGATAATTTATCTTTGTAATTTGTTCCTTTTGATCAAAAAAGGGAATTTATAAATTATAAGGTTAATTTATGTTGACTTGATAATAATCATGATTATTAAAAGGTAATGTGAATTATTGGAACAAAATGCAATTCATTGAACTTGTGAGAATATTACATTGAAATTTATTACTATATATATATATAAATAAAAGGAATAATTTATAGTGATGATATAAACATGTATATCATATGGTAATTAAGTCCAAAGGAATCTTCATTTTAATTTTGAGTTCTTGTAGGGTAAATTCGCGTAAATCTATAAAAACTTTTGATATATTTTCATTTCACGTATAATTTTTATATTAAAAAAATTCTAACTCATCTCATCCTATTGTCATTTCTTTCGATAGA